ATAGACAGAGTACAGTCACCTCCCATAGACAGGGTACAGGCACCTTCCATAGACAGGATACAGTCACCTCCCATAGACAGGATACAGTCACCTCCCATAGCAGTCACCTCCCATAGACAGGGTACAGGCACCTTCCATAGACAGGATACAGTCACCTCCCATAGAACTTGCTGGAGTCCCTGGGACATGGCTCACAGGGAGTTTAGCTGGGCACGGATCTGGCACTGTACCAGGCAGGACAGCAGCACGGGCTTGGCCTCCCGGACCCCTTTCCGCACCTGCTCCCCAGTGTCCTGCTCCGCTCAGCAAGTATTGTTTGATTACAGTACTTGTTGGTGGGCTGGGCTGCTCTTAGGATGGAAGCACTGCAGATCGGCATGCACAGGCTTCTGACCTGCTAATTTTATGTATTTATTCATGTATGCCAAAACCAGGGCCTGAACCCACGGCCTCACGGTCTCACTTGGCTTTTTTGCTCAAAGCGGACACGCTAGCTCTTGAACCACACCCCCACATATGTGTTTTGCTGGTTAATTGGAGAGAAGAGTCTCGAGGGCTTTTCTTCCAGAGATGACTTCGAATTGCAATTCTCAGATCGCAGCCTCCTGTGAGCCAATAGCACTCCCTCTATTTTTGTATCAGCTGTAGATTATTTTGTGCTCATTTTGCTATTGTGCAATTAAGCTGAGGTCCATTTTCCATTACCAAGTTGTCCTCTATGTAGCCCCTGGCCTCGTCTACTTCTTCTCTTTCTCAGCCTCTGTGTTGGTGTGTCTGCATAGAACCACTTACATAGGGAGAAAGCACAAAGAAAATTGCTGCTTACAATGTGAGGGGTTTTGTGGTCAGGGTAGTGAGATGCACGGCTTGGCAAGTCACCAAACACGAGTCTCTCTCCTCCTCTCTGCATTTTCTAAACCATTAACCAAAATGATTAGCAGATATCTCTAACTTTATGGTTATGTCTGAATACTAGATATTGGCTCCTTGAAATTTATATTTACTCTTAATATATGTTCTAGTCCCTTACTGTATTCTCACAGATCATTTTAGGATTTTTCAGGATTTAAAATTTTAATTTAAAGCTATTTTAGAAAATTAACCTTTGGATGGTTTTGCTCAGACCAAACCTAACATTTATAAACTATTTCTTGTTATAATTATTGTTGTTTGAACATTACATCAATGTTAATTTTATGGACAAAAAGGTCATGAATATTTCTCCCTGTATATTTTTGTGACTTCTACTTTATCCTATTGCCCTTTACCAGTTTGTTGTGAAGGTGTCAATGGACAGATAGACAAAGCCACAGACTGATCTGTTTGCCTGTGAGAAGGCTGTAGTGATTTTCATACTGCAGAAGTAGATTTAAAAACAAAATTACTCACTCAGCTTTTTCATCCTGTTATTTTTGTCTAATTGTAATTTGCTTATTATTTGAGTTCATGGCCAAAAATATTCTTAGCAGGAGAAAGAAATGGCAATTTACAGAGTCAGAGGCCGTCCCTGAGGGACCCATTAGCCACTTCCCCTTGCTCCCCTGGGAAAACCAGCATGCCTGTGGAAGCCAGTCCCACCGCGGGCTGACTTGGCTGGGGCCTCCGTCTCCAGTGCCACTTGGTCACTACCCACGCACAATTAGTTCTGATGATGAACCGCAGTCTCAGAGGCAGTGCCTTGCCTCTCTCCTCACACAGGGGAGTTTTACTACGCAACAGAGAGAAACTTTCTGCATCATCCTCACTCCCTGAAGGTGCACTTTCCTATGCCCTGCGGTCAGAGAGCAAACTTTCTCCCGTGCGCTGTGCTTCCTGATTAGCAGGGAGAGCTGGCAGTGTTTGCTTCCCACACAGGTGACCAGATGCTGGCATCCAGACAAGGAATCCACGGTGCAGGCTTTGTGCTACCGCTTGTTCACCGTGCTCTCGTTTTTATTTTTCAACCTGTCAGTATTCATCCCAAAGCACTATAATTTAGCATTACTTGTTTTTTTTCATATGGTATAGTTTTTTAGAAACTCTTCTAGTAGACAGCATTCCTACAAATTAAACTTTTGGTGATTATTTTATGATTTGCTTTCTACTTTGAGTTTTACTGATTACAGTGTCACTAAAGTTGAACATTTCCACTAACTTTTGCATTTGCTCCAAATGACAGCTGAATTCAGAGGTTTAATCAAATAGTTGTTTGATACTATTTGTATCAGAAGGCACAATTACAACTCTCATTTACTGTTGTTATCAGTTATTAATTTTCAATATGATATACAATATAAACACATTATACATCATGTGTGTATATGGATTTATGTGGGAAAATAGACTGGGGGGGGCTGTGGAAAGTAGAGAGAAAGAGACAGAGGCAGAGACGGGGGGAAGATTACATTAAAAACACCAATCTAATCCAGAACCCTTTTTTACTTCTACTTTGTATTTGTATCTATCTCCTTTCACAAGGCTATTTCGGTCTATTAACAATGTGAATATCTTCATTTGATTAATTATATAATCAACATACAATTATTTGGGAATAGCTATATCAATACCAAAAAGAAAGATTAAAAAGAGTCAGTTTTCTGGTAGTTACTTTGTTTTTAAAGGAATGGTATACATTCAAAGCTAATTAAAAATCAAGTAACGGTAAAAAAAAAAAAAGTCAATTGGCTTAAATATTACTTTTCTCCTTCAGTTTGGTTATGTAATTCTCTTATTTGAAAGACATTTAAATTCATCTATTTCTCTTAGAATTCAGTTTCAAGATCTTTTATCAACTTAGCTGTGTTGACTTAATATATTATGAATGGGTAAAAAAGAACTTGACCGAAGCTTTAAATCACGTAGAAAGGCATTATGAGAAGAAGATCCGAGCTTTCTGTACCCCATTCACTATGTTCTTTTCATTTTTCATAGATAACATATGTTACAATTAAGTCACCACCTATGCTCATATCTTGAAGCATTTCCCCTTCATTTTTATTATTTATTTATTTTTGATGGTTGTGGGGCCTGAACTCAGGGCCTGGGCGCTGTCCCTCAGCTCTTCAGCTCAAGGCTAGCACTCTACCACTTGAGCTACAGTGCCACTTCTGGCTTTTTTCGGCTTATGTGGTGCTGAGGAATGGAACCCAGGGCCTCCTGAGTAGCCAGGATTACAGGCGTGAGCCACTGGCATTTTTTTTTTTTTTGTAGTATTTTTTATGTCTGTATCTTACATTAAGGTCTTAGGTCAGTTTTGAGTTGATTTTTGTACACATAAAGGTAGGGGTATAGTTTCAGTATTCTCATGTGGACATGAAAATTTTCTAGCACCACATCTTTGTGGAAAACCCAATGCCTATAGCTGTGGCTATATTGAACGATTTCTGCATTCGCCATTCTATTCCTTTGGCCTATGTGTCTATTTTCCTACCAGAACCATGCTCTTTCCTTTCTTCTCATGGCTCTGTAGTGCAATTTCAGCTTGGGTAATTCTACACCTCTCACAGAGCTTTCTTTGCTCATGTTGTTTTGGCTATTTGGGGTCTTCTGGGAGAGGATTAATCCTGAAACTCTATAGATGCTTAAGTCTACTCAATGGACAGTATCATTTAACTCTGATGCTTGTTGATTTTTGGTCTAGATTTTCCTGTAGAGACAGAGTAGGGCATTGAAATCACGTATTATTATTTTGTTGAGGTCCGTCTGAGCTTGTTTTTCCAATATTGTTTGTTTTATGACATTGGATGCACACTTGTTTGGGACATATGCATTTGTAATTGATAAATCTTGGTGGATTGCTCTAAGTTTTCCCTCCCATTGGGACAGGGTCTTTTATGTAGCTGAGCATGTCTTATATTTTGCTATGCAGCCAGGATGGCCTTGAACTTGTGATCTTATGCCTTTACTTCCTGAGGTAGAGATATTGTGATTACAAGTATGTGCTACCATGCTTAGTTTCTAAATCTTGTTTGTTATTCACAATTTGAAGATAATAGCAATAGCATTTGCAATAAGAATATAGTGAACACAATTACATAGACTAGGCAGTCAGAAATGACATTAATTTATTTAGTATAACATTTGTTGTATTTGTTCCCATATTAATAGAAGTAGAAACTAGATACTGTGCTATCTTTTTGTCTTAGAACTTTATTATTTTTGAAAAGGGATTGAAATTCCATTCTTAGAAAACAAAATGGTCATGATACATTTGACAATTTTAAATCTATTTAAAATTGCACAAAGCATATTTCAGCATCCTTTTACAAATAAATATTAGAAGCATTTGAATGGGATAGTTGAACACCATTGAATTTTAAAATATATTTTAAGTGCCTATTTTTTATTACCCATTATATTAAGTGCTTCAATTTCAAGAACTTACAAGCTAAGGCTTCGTTCACTGCCTTTAGGGAAATCATATTTCAGAATTGCACCGAAATGGTAAATAATAATTTAAACAAGAACATTTGATCTTTGAGATCTTTGATAACTAGGAAAAATCACAGTAGGTTTTATTCTCATTGAAATACAACACATTGTGAAGTCTGTGGTCGTTCCTTAAGTAGTGCAGCACTTGGGTTTTGTCCTTTCTTAATTTTTTTTCTGTTGTCCCTCTTCCATTAGTGTTTTGTTGGATAGCTGGAAAAAGTCAAAAAGACTGTTCCTTTTGGCAAAGGGTAAATGAATGGTTTGTGGGAGATGTGTTGATGTATAGAACACAATTTTTAAAGAGTTTTAGGACATTATTCAAGATAAGTTACTAAAATGTTATCAAGAGATAAACATAGAGTTTGTTGAATAAATTTTAGATACTTGTTTATACTGTTAAATACATGTAAAAACTGTTCAGGTAATTTCTCCACGAGAAAGGGCCACTCAGATTTGGGTTTTAGTGAAGTAATTCACAGTGTTCTATTGGTCGGTTAGTAAATGCAAATTATCCTGAATTCCATTGATTTGTACTCATATCTGGAGACAAGAAAGAACTCCAGTATGAACTAAATTTCCTGTTTTTCACCCTATCTCGCAGGTCTTTGTGTTGCTGGTCTGAAGTGCTTAAGACAGGCCTTCTGGGCATCTATAGAACCCTTGGACCCTATAGAATATCTTGTAAGCCTTTTCATGGCACTTTTAATCTCTTTATTCCTCAGTGTATAAATGGTTGGGTTTAGCAGCGGTGTAATAACAGAATAAAACACAGCAAGAAACTTGTCCAGCCAGGTGATGCTGAGAGGCCACACGTAGATGAAGATGCAGGGGCCGAAGAGGAGGACCACCACCGTGATGTGGGCGGAGCAGGTGGACAGGGCCTTGGAGGCCCCGCTTGTGGAGCTCCGTTGCACAGTGAGAAGAATGTACGTGTAGGAGATCAGCAACAGAACGAAGCAGGTTACACCCACAACTCCACAGTCAGCGTTCATCAGTAGGTCCAGATTATAGGAATCTATGCAGGCTAACTTGATGACCAGTGGTATGTCGCAGAAGAAGCTGTCTATATCCCGGGGGCCACAGAAAGGCAGCTGTATGACCACTACCAGGTGACTCATGGCATGCACGAATCCAATGGCCCAGGAGGTCAACACCAGCTCCACACACTTCTGCAGGCTCATAATGGTGGAGTAGTGGAGTGGTCTGCAGATGGCCACATAGCGGTCATAGGCCATTACCACAAGGAGCACCATCTCACTAGCAGCAATGAAGTGGGCAAAGAAGATCTGAGACATGCAGCCTCCAAAGGAGATGGTCTTGTTCACCCTCAGAAAGTCTGTGATCATCTTAGGGGTGCTGACGGAGGAGAGCCACAGATCAACAAAGGACAGGTTGGCCAGCAAGAAGTACATGGGGGAGTGGAGGTGAGGGTCAGTGATGATCAAGATCATGATGGCAGTGTTCCCTGACCCGATGATCAGATAAAGCACCAAAAATATTATGAAGAGTAAGATCTGGGCGTTCTGTGAATTGTCAAGTCCGAGAAGCACAAACTCTGACACTACCGACTGATTTCCTCTATCCATTGTATTAGCGTCCTCTGAAATAATCTAGAAAGAAGAATAGATTATCAACTAGTGGGATGATAAAGAGAAGTTGAAAGCTAACGTCTATGTCTGAAATTGAATAGCATAAATCCAAGGAGAAATTTTAGCCAAATATAAGGGGCATTCTGCCCCAACGCAAACGTTAACAGACCACGACTAATTTTTCAAGAAGCAGAGCATAAGAAGGAATGTCATGCAAATGACTTACCAGGATAGTGCTGTCCCGGGGGTGATCGGGGGCAGAGGCCAGGACAACCGTGGCCTCCCCTGGTGCCCGCTCTGCCCCCCAGTCCAGTCGAAGGCTAAGCACAGTGCCCGCTCACTCTGCCTGCTTGCTCTGCCTGCCAGTCCAGTCGAAGGCTGAGCACAGTGCCTGCTCACTCTGCCGGGAATCTTTATGTACATAATCAAAATTAATTCAGAAACTTGGAAAGGTGATGGTGAATTAACATTGAATTTCAAACTAACAATGTGATACAATCCTACCATTTGTTGGCACCATATATAATGATTCCTTCAAGCCTAGGAAGACATTACAAAATTACGATTTCTTAGCCCAGATCTCTAATAAAATAAATGTTGAAGCTGGGTGCCAGTGGCTCACTCCTGTCATCCTAGCTACTCAGGAGGCTGAGATCTGAGGATCACAGTTCAAAGCCAGCCTGGGCAGGAAAGTTCATGAGACTTTTATCTCCAATAAACCACTAGAAAACCAGAAGTGGCTCTGGCTCAAGTGGTAGAGTGCTCGCCTTGAGCTGAAGAGCACAGGGACAGTGCCCAAGCCCAGAGCTCAAGGCCCATAACTGACAAATATTGAGACAATCTTTATGAGAGAAAAAACTGTACAGAAAGTCATGCAATAAATACCTTGGCATGATGATGCAAAATCAGACACATAAATAGTCATTAATTAAAATGTAAAATAATATTTACTAAATAAAAGTTTTAATTACCAAAATATATTGATGTAGATTAATTTTTTCTTAAAACAATTTTTTAAAAACCAGTTCTTGTTGGGTGCCAGTGGCTCACACTTGTATTCCTAGCATCTCAGGAGGCTGAGATCTGAGGATGGTGATTCAAAGACAGCTCAGACAAAGAAGTCCTTGATACCCTTATCTCTGAATAACCACCAAAAAGCCAGACATGGAGCTTTGGCTCAAGTGGTAGAGTGCCAGCCTTGAGTAACAATGCTCACGGACAGTGCCCAGATGCCAAGTTCAAGGTTCAGGACTTGCACAACACAACAAAACAAGACAAGAAACAATTCTCTACCTGCCAGAGTAAGTTACGTAGATGAGTTGCAAACGTGGGGCTTCAAATGTGAGTAGAGAGGAATGTGCTGCAGAGTGACTAGCACATTTTCGGTATACGCAGGTGCTCTCCCACCAGATCCCCTGCATTTGTAATAAGGTCGTGCCTCCTGCCCAGCTAGTCTAGACTGTGATCCTCTTCTCCCTGCTCCCTGCACCGCTGGGCTGCTAGGCATCCATCTCTGCACCCAGATTTTTATTGGTTGAGAGATGGGGGTGTCTCATAAGCATTCTGCCTGCCCAGGCTGGCTTCAAACTGTGACCCAGTCTCTGAGGAGCTAGGTTTACAGGAATGAGCTGCTGGCACCTGGCTCTTCTCCGTTTTTTGTTTTTAAATAGTGGATCTTGAGACAATATTTTTCTCCAAAGCTATTGGCAACAATTGTATTGTTTATTGTGACTTATTCCATAAATAACATATATGCTATCGTCTTTCTTTCCAGTATCTCTTCCTTATGTTTTCCTTAAGTGTCCATGTGCCTCTCAGTGATGGTCCCATGTCTACTGTGAAAGGGACCTTGTCTGTACCGCCTGCTGTCCATGGTATAACCAGTGTTTCACTCACATTTTTCTTGCACAGCAGGGTTATTAATGTTCGCAGGACTTGGAAGCATTAGGGCATTCTATTAAAGCACGTTTAGAATTTTACTTTTTTTTCTTTTGTCAGTTGTGGGGCTTGAACCGTAGGCCTGGGCACTGTCCCTCAGCTCTTCAGCTCAAGGCGAGTGCTCTACCACTTGAGCCACAGCACCACTTCCAGTTTTGAGTGGTTAATTGGAGATAAGAGTCTCACAAACGTTCCTGCCTGGGCTGGCTTTGAACCATAATCCTCAGATCTCAGCCTGAGTAGCTAGAATTACAGGTGTGAGACACTGGCACCGGGCTAGAATTCTACTTTTAACATAAGAGTAATTCTTAAAGAAAGGGCTAACATTAGGTTTTGATGGGTGGAACTGAAAATTAGGGTAAGAAAACAAAGCAAATTATCTTTAGGAATATTGAAACATAACAAACTATTTCTTCCTTCTAAATGTAATATCCTTCCATAAATGCTGGCTTTCTCCAAAAGTATTAATCTTTGATATTAATAATTTTACCTCGGTAGATGTATACAAGGCCTCAGATCGTGTATTGGAGGAGATACTCAGCATCTTCCAGTGAGATGGGATGGCTTCCTTTTCCTCAGGTTGCACGTTTTAGTTCTATGTTTGCTCTAGCCAAGAATTGTAATCTTGTTCGCCATATCTCCATGCTAAAAACTGTCTTACATGCTATGCAGTCTGACACAATGAGCCTTTATCAGGAATAAGGACAGCCAGTTCTGTTCATAGCAATCCACAGGCAAAGTAGTGTGATCTTCCGACACAGATCTTAGAGCATGTCTGAGGCCTTGCTTTTTTGTACTGTGTGCACTGTTTTGAAGATAAATCCCCATAATAATAGCAAATCAAGAGAAAAACCTATAGGTTGTCTTCTAAAAATGTCAGAGGACACAGAAGCCATACTAGGCTCCAAGCATCCTACAAATCATTTGAACAAAACAGAGAAGTACCTTAAGAGGAGCAGAGCGCAGAGGTGACTTACTAGACACCGTGGTTTCTATCTTGGTCTTCCTTTCTGATGTGTGCAGTGGTGGGCTCCACGGCAGTGGTGAAGGTGCCCTCCTCACCCTGACACTTAGACACTGCCTGGAGAAGTCTCCTGGGGCAAATTTACCTATTCTGTGTTCCAACCCAAACAAGAATCAAGGAAATAATGATCTTGGACATCCCTTGGGGGGATGAGTGGTACTGAGTGCTGCATACTTGTGAAATTAGAACAAGGAGATGAGGAAAAACTCCTGTAAGTCAGCTCAGCACTGAAAAAGAGTGGAGTTTGAATAGTATTCCTTTGACTAAATAGTACTAAGGAGATGTTTTCTGCAGCTTTGTTCAGCAATTCTATGAAGTCAGATTATGTTTGGGCCACAGACAGCATGGCTGGCCTATGTTTACTAACTAAATAGAGTGAAGGCAGTTGACTGACCTGTGTTTGCTAAACAGAGTGAGGCAGCAAGTCAGCCCCATGCTGGGTATGGCCCAAGCAGCAATGCTCCCTAGGTGCAGTGCTGAGGTCAGGCTCTCCTAACAAGCGGGTGTCTGTGGTCAAATGGCTGATGACTTGCAGTATATTCTGTGATTTCATGAGATACTGTCAGGTAGGGAATAGATATCTCAGGATTCTAAAAGATAGGTTGATATGAGTTTCAACATATCCTCGAACACTTAGGGTTAAAAACAATTTTGTGATACTGTAATTGGCCCAAAGGAAACGGCTTTTGTTTAAAATGTACAATGTGGTAAGCCTTGACATTCACATGCCTTGTGAAGACACCATCATCATCTAGATCTGAGCCAAAATGCTCCATGCTTTGACAACCTTGCTTTCCCACCTTCTGCAGGCCTCTCTTTGGAACCACTGATCCGTTACTAATTTTGCATGTTGCAGAGTTTTGTATAACGCAACTCACTTGTACTTCTCTAAAAATGTTCACTTCAGCTGGGTGCTCACTCTTGTCATTCTAACCACTCAGGAGGCTGAGATCTGAGGATTGCAGTTCAAAGCCAGCCCAAGCAGGAAAGTCCATGAGACATATCTCCAGTTGACCACCAAAAAGCTGGAAGTGGAGCTGTGGCCCAAGGGTAGAGCACTAGTCTTGAGCACAAAGAAGCTCAAGCACGGCACCCAGGCTCTGAATTCAAGACCCACAACCAACAAAAGAAAAAAGTTTAGTTCACTTGCCCTTTTATTAATTGAGTTGTTTATTTTGGGGGGAGTTAATATTTTGAGTTCACAGTATGTTCTGCTTATTAGACACTCACCAGATGTATACCTGACAAAGGTTTTTCTCTACTCTGTAGGCAATCTCTTCAATCCCGTGACTGTCTCCTCATTGTGCCCAGGCTCTGCAGTTTGATCTCATCTGTTAATCCTTGCTCTTATTTGCTGAGCTATTGGGTTATACTCAAGAAGTTACTGCCTATGCCAATATGTTCCAGTATTCTGAGCATTCTTCTGGTGTTGCTTCTAGTTGTAGTTTCACAGTTTTTGGTCTTACGCTAACACCCACTCTCCGCTGACATTTGTGCAGAGTGAGAGGTGGGGACCTGGCTTCAATCCTGTGCATTTAGATATTCACTTTTCCCAGCACCATTTGTATATTTTGGAATGATTGGTAAAAATCAAATGTTTCAGCTGTGTGGATTTATTTTGGTGTCTTATTCTGTTACTTTTTTTGTTTTTGTGTTATTTCTGTGGTGTTTTTGTTAATATTACCACATAGCATAATTTGAAATCTGGTATTGGAATACCTCTAGCATTGGTTTTGCTATAAAAATTGTTTTGGCTAGTTGGGGTCTTGTGCTTCCCTATGAAATTTAAGATTGATTTTTTCCACTTTTTCGAAGAATCCCATCTGCATTTTGAGGAGTATTGCATTGAACCTGAACATTTCTTTCACCTCTTTCATGATATTCTGACCATCCATGAGCATTGTGGTCTTCCCATCAATTGGTATCTTTGATTTCCATCCTCAGAGTTTTATAGTTTTCATTGTAGAGAAAAGTTTAGTTGTTATGATAAGAAAGTTGGCTAAGCCAGATGCTGGTGTCTCACGCCTGTCATCCTAGCTACTCAAGAGGCTGAGATCTGAAGATGACAGTTCAAAGCCAGCCCAGGCAGGAAAGTCCATGAGACTCTTATCTCCAGTTAACTACCATAAAACGGGAGTGGTGCTGTGGCTCAAGCGGTAGAATGCTCGCCTTGAGCTGAAGAGAGCAGGGACAGCACCCAGGCCCTGAGTTCAAGTTCAGCAGAAAAAAATAGAAAGTTGGCCAAGTTATCACATTATTATTTTTGACACTGTTATGAATGGGATCTTTCTCCTGATTTCCATCTCAGCCTATTTACTGTTGTTATACAGAAAAGCTACTGAAATTTGTGTGTTGATTTCATGCCCTGTTACATGGCTGAACATGTTTATGAGATCTAAGACTTTGGAGTGAAACCTTAATGGTCCTATAAGATTATATAACTAGTAAACAGAAATAATTCAACTTATTTCTTATCTGTTTAGATCTTTCTCTTGCATTATTTCTCTGGCTAAGAATTCCAGTCTTACATTAAGTAAGAATAGAAAGAGCAGACACCCTGGTCTCATTCCTGACTTTACAGAAAATAATTTCAGTTTTTGTTTAGTATGATTTTAGCTGTAGGATTGTCATAGATCGCTTTCATTATATTGAGACACATTCTTTTCTCATCCTAGTTTCTTTATGCCTTTCATCATATGGAATATTGTCAAAGGCTTTCTCTGCATTGGTTAAGATGATCAATTCTTGTTCTTGATTCTGTTTGCTGCTTTATTTTAATTAAGCTTGCATTCCTGGAATAAAACCAACTTGATCATAATTATGCTGTTTTAAACATTTATTAAATTCAGTTTGCAACAACTTTATTGGAAACTTTTGCATCTGTGCTCAGTAAAGAGGTTGGTCTATATTTCTATTTTTTTGTGTCTTTGTCCAGTTTTGGACCTAATGTAATAGTGGTCCTTAGAATGAGTTTTACAGTATTTCTTCTCTTTCCATTTCATGGAAATGTTTGATAACTATTGGTGTTAGTTCTCTAAAGGTCTGGTAGAATTCTGCACTGAGTCCATATAGTCCTGAAGTTTTATTTTTTTGTGACATTCTTTATTACTTCTTTAACCTTATTGCTTGTTATAGGTCTAGTTAAGTGATTTGTGTCTTCTTGATTCAGTTTTGGTAGGTCAAATGTGTGTAGAAATGTATCAATTTATTTTACACTTTCTAGTTTAATTGAATATAACTTGCCAAACAATATCTTATATTTTATATTCTGTATTTCTTTTGCGTTTCTTATTATATCCCCTTTTTCTCTCTGAATTAATTTTCTCTAATTCCTTTTCCCCTTCATTAGTTTAATCTCAATGTTATTCTGATTCAATGATTCTCACTAGAAAAACTAGAGTCAAAATTACTTCTCAAGTTTTTCCAACTTATATTCGCGTCTACATCTGTCCTGACTGAGTACCTAGCAAGGATGTCAGAGCACACATGTAAGTACACACGCATCCACATGAGTAAGACACTTCCATGCCTCAGAGGACAGGCTGCTCAGACTGAACTAGTCACACCTCTCAAGTATGTAGGGAAAAGGGTGAGAACATTCTTCTCCATTGTTTATGTAATAATAATAGTACAATTAGTGTGTTTAGTACATGTCGTATGTTTAGTACATATTTAGTATATATTTAGTACACTTAATAAGTATGAAATGTGTGTTATTTGATACATATTTATTGCCTTATTACCCCCATAATAACCAGGCCAGTAAGTATTATTACCTCCTTTTAAAAACATGGACAGCAACGCTCACAAGAGATAAGTAAATAGTAAATACGATGATTACCAAGTGCTAAATAGTTCAACATTTTGTATGGGGAGGCTCCTCTTTTGAAAATCCTTTGGTAGTTGATCTATAAATTCTATCACCAAGCATATTTTGAGGCATGTAGAAGTTCATTTGTTAATGTTTTTAGGGAAAATGGGCTAAATACATGTTTTTTAAATTTTAGTAACTAGCCAGGCCAGTTTCTCACATTTAGAAAGTCTCAGGTGTTTACATACACCAACACATTCATGACTTTATTGCTCTGAAAATTAGTTACATCGTATTTTGAATGCATGATATTACCTTTGCAACTGCAAAAATAGAGTACACTTGATATGGAAGGAAGTGTATGTGAAACTTTATTGCCAACTACTAAGGAAGGTGAGAACGAGGATGACCATTTTCATAACTTTACTAATTTGCCAGCTTAATCTCTAGTGACCTCACAGTCGCTTAGGCTCTTCAACCTCCGGTGGAGTTCATGTTCTGTTTTCTCAGTCGCCGCAGGGCAGTCTTCATGTCTTTGTTCCTCAGCGTATACACGATGGGGTTCAAGAGCGGAGTGACCACAGAGTAGAACACAGCGAGGAATTTGTCCAAGGACTCCACCGCAAATGGCCAGGCGTAAATGAGGATGCATGGCCCAAAAAACAGAAGGACCACTGTGATGTGAGCCGTCAGTGTGGTCAGGGCCTTGGAGGACCGATCTGAAGGGCAGCGCTTGACCGTCAGTATGATGATAGTGTAGGAAATGATCAAGAGAACAAAAGAGCACACCGTGAGCACCCCGCTGTTGGCGATGACCATGATGTCTAGCCGGTAGGTGTCGGTGCAGGCAAGTCTGACTACCTTTGGGAGGTCGCAGTAGAAGCTGTCAATCTTGTTGGGACCACAGAAGGGCAAGTTCACTGCAAACGCCAGCTGGCTCACAGAGTGGAGGAAGCCAGTCCCCCAGGCAGCAGCCACAATCCCCACACACACATTGCCACACATGATTGCCGTGTAGCGCAGGGGCTTGCAAATCGCCACATACCTGTCAAAAGCCATGGCAATGAGGATCACCAGCTCACTCCCGCCAAAAAAGTGAAGGAGAAATATCTGTGCAAAGCATCCCTTGACAGAGATGACTTTGTGCTTGCTGAAGAAGTCACAGATCATCTTGGGAGCTGTGACTGAGGACAGAGACAGGTCGATGAGCGAGAGGTTGGCCAGCAGAAAGTACATGGGGGAGTGAAGGTAGGAGTCAGAAGCCACAGTTAAGATAATAAGAAGGTTTCCCAAAACAATTCCTATGTAGAAAACTAAAAAGAACATAAATAAGAAAATCTGAAGCTCCCAAGACTTGGAGAGTCCAAGAAAAATAAACTCAGTCACCACAGAGTGATTTGTTTCATGTACTGATGCATTCCAGGAGATTGTGTTTTCAGTTACCTTGGAGAAGACAATGAGGAAGACATCATGATGATTACATTTAATCTGTCTCACTTTTCATCCTCTGTTACATTATGCTACTTTCTGTGGTCCATTGTATAAAGCTGTCACAATTCAAGGGTCAAGTTCATAGTTTCACCCCTGCCCTTCCCCTCGGGTTGAATGTTGCAGTTCAGTTACCCAGGTCTTCCAAGTGCCCCCACACATGCTAGGCATAATCTTAACAATAATTCTGTATGTCCACACTGCCACCCTATATGTACTCTGTTTTCTATTTCCTATTTTAGTTCATAATCTGTAGCAACTATCTTAAATCTTTGATGATATTAAAGCTCTCAAGAGAAAAAGAAACTTGCCAAATGAAAGATATAAATACAAACAAAAATAAAATAAATATTGCATTTAAAAAAGTGAGGCTGGGTGCTGGTGGCTCATGCCTGTAATCCTAGCTATTCAAAAGGCTGAGATATGAGAATTGCAGTTAGAAGCCAGCCCAGGCAGAAAAGTCCATGAGACTCTTATCTCCAATAAACAACTCTGAAAAAGCTGGAAGTGGTGCTATGGCTCAAGTGGAAGAGTGTTAGTCTTGAACACAAAGAGGCTCCAGGACAGTGCCCAGGCCCTGAGTTCAAGCCCCAGGACCAAGCCCCCCACCCTTTAAAAAAAAAGCAAGAGAGGATAAGAGAATGAGGCATTCAGAGTTGGAGCAAGGGAAATGAAAATTTGCATGAGAGATGGTGTGATGGAGTTCTATGGAGATAAAATTGGAAAAGGATTCTGGAATTTTTATTGAGGGATTTGGGTTTATTTTGAAATGGAGAACTACTGGAAAATTATGAACAGTAGTTTAACACATTAACTGGTGTGTGAGTGTTTTAAGCCTGACAGCAAGCAATATCTGGAAGTTGGGGTTGTGAGTGCAGAAGGAGGAGGAGAGATTTCTGAGTTTATCAAAGAACACATACAGTGGCTAGGATATGAGCTTGTGTGCTAGGAGGCTTAGCTGGATGTCCTTGGACACGTCACTTAAAGCTGTGGTCTTATATCTGTATCAGACTAGAGGGGTGATTTTAGTATTAATTCGTAAGAGTTCTGGAAGATTAATGTGGCCATGAACATAAATTTTCTAGCACATAGTGGTTAATACATAATACATACTAAATTTTTAAATTTTTTATTGTTATTGTAAAGGTCCAATAGATTTTTTAAGCTAGTAATTGAAATTTGTCATCAGGATGTGGGAGATGGAAAAGTATGATTTAAATATTTATATTCTGAGTATTTGGGAGTGCCGAGCTGAGTTAGATGACCCCCCCCCCCCCAGTGATGATAACTAGCACTGATGTGGGGCAGACATGCAGACACACACACCACAGAGTAAGAGAGCTCCACACACAAGGAAGCATTGTGGGGGCACATTTGTGTGGTACTTTCTAGTAAATGATGAGGGAACACTGTTGGGCAGGAGCTGCAGGAAACATTTCAACCATGTTTCTTCAGGAGGTTGTGCAGTTGGGTGACCCTGGGCAGCACAGCTAATAGCCATGGAAAACAGAAGCGAAACTTGGAAAGGAATAGGGCTGTCACACAGGAAATGCAAAAGCTTAGAAGTATGACATCTATCAAGCTTCTTGGAAGGACTATATAATTTGACTGGACATTTAGTTATATTTTCTACCACTCTTAGAAATTACACTTCTCTCTCTTCTAAATTTCCCAGCTCTACTCAAGTACATTGTTCCCAAGATCTTATAAAATTACTAATTCTAATTTTTTCAAGTATGAAGAAGACCTTCTACTAAATAATTATTAAATAATCAGATGTTTAAATTAATTCAAGATAACTTATTTTAGTTCCCTTCTGCTTAATACATTGTAATAAATACAATCACGGTAATCACTGATAACACAGAGGGCAGGATTTCAATTGTGCAATAATTTCTGATGTGACAACCTGGTTGTTTCTTTAGACTCAATATACACAAATTACAATTGAACTCAGCATTTACTGATGTAAAACTAATTTAATTTCACTGAGAGGTAAGGACAAACTTGAGTTGGCCCTAGGGTTTTTATCTTAGTGCCAGGAGTTGTTTTTTTTTAATCATAGTAGCAAGTAAGAATTCAGAAATGTTATTCATCAGCTAAAAGAAATGTCTTACTTCTGAGTGTCTGGTGCTCAGAGGAGAGTGCTAAACCAGATCCTCTGCTACAGAAGCGCTCACCACCACAAGCCCACTTAAAGCCCATTTGTGGATTCTTCCAACATGCTTCAAGAAGTCCTGGAGGGCCTCACATCTAAAATAGACTTAGAGCTCAAAAAATTAAACCCCCTAAAAATAACCACTTAAACAACAATCCAACTAATAAATGGGCTAAAGACTTAGAGACTTTTCAGAAGAAGAAGTAATAATGGCCAATAGACATATGAAGAGATATCCAACATCACTGGCCATAAAAGATATGCAAATCAAAGTAGCATGACCATTATCAAGAAAATGAATAATAACAGATGCTGGTGGGATGTGGCCCAAAGGAAACTCTACTACTCTGTTGGTGGGAATGTAAACTGGTTCAACCACTATGGAAAGCAGTATGGAAGTTCCTCAAAAGACCAAACATAGAGCTCCCCTCTGACCAGCAATGCCACTTCTGGGCATTTATCCAATGGATCATAAACCAGGCCACACTAAAGCTATCAGCACAACCATGTTCATCACAATATTGTTTCCATAGTCAAGACATGTAAACAACTCGTATGTGCCTCAGTGGATGAGTAAATCAAGAAAATGTGGCGCATATATATATATATATATATATATATATATGCAGATATATATAGAGAGAGAGGGGGAGAGAGAAAGAATAGAATTCTGTGCTTCTATCAGAAAGAATGGCATTGCCCCATTCATAAGGAAATGGAAAGACTTGGAAAAATTATATTAAGCAAAATAAGCCAGACCCAAAGAAATATAGGTTGCATGGTTTCCTTCATTTGTGATAGGTAGAATGTGACTAAAAGTCTACAAGTAAACCTACTGGATGGTAAAGACAAAAACGTACCCTTGGACATGATAAATTAAACAGCACTGTAGACATTCACACAGTGAGACCAAAGGAGGATATTCTTAGGAGAGGATCACAAAGGCTCAGTAGCTATGTGCATATGATCATATAAAATGTTTATCAAAATAAGCTCCAGGAAATGGAAACAAGATTATTTTGTTTTTGTTTTCTCCCTTGTCACAGTTTTTTTTGTTTTCTGTACTTTTGTCTTCCATGCAAGTTTATCTGTTTGGGGGAGGGTGAGGGGGAGCATTAACAAATGCAGCAGTGGTACTCACTGGACACTATGTTGAAAATGAACTGTACAACTTGTGTGTGGAGAGGGTGGTCAGGAGGGAAAACTGGGAGAAAATGAGGGAGGGTTGACACTGTTCAGAAAGAAATATGCTCAATTCCTTGCCTAACTGCAACCCTTCTATACAACAAATTGACTTTAATGTTCAGTTAATGCTTACTGAAGGAGTTCTCTAGACTCTCACCCATTCGTATTCATAGTAACAGTGAAGATCCAGACACAATTTAGAAGAAAATCCTTCCCCGTAATTTCATTAAACATTGAGCTTAACCTTTTGAATGTTACACTTTTCTTAAGCATTTTCTACCTTTGTGGACTTGGCATTTGTTGCCATTATGACACTAATAACAAGGGTTATCCTTAACATTGTTTATATTAATTCTTCTAAGTATTGAAGCTACCCTACCAAGTCTTACCGTTTTTCCTGAAGATAAAGACATAGGTGCATTATTTCAAGTAGACTTCTACTGATAAAAACATCTCATTGTCAGTTAAATTCTGAGTACACTATGTAACTTTCATCATTCCACTTACCTCTTTCATAACTAGAAGAGACTACAGCAACTTGAGAGAGAGAGAGCGCAAAGCCTACAGATTTCCTTTTGTTTTTATATGCAAAGAATTAAAATTTCTAAGACATATCATTTAGGAATGTCATCTTTCTTAGTAAGCTGCTTGGTCAATTAAGAGGTTTTTCAGGAAAGTTACCAGAAGCGGAAGGTCTGGACCTGGCCTCCCAGAGCAGCAGGAGAAGGTCCGGACCTGGCCTCCCAGAGCGGCAGGAGAATGTCCAGACCTGGCCTCCCAGAGCGGCAGGAGAAGGTCGGACCTGGCTTCCAGAGCAGTGCATGCACAGCCTGCTTTATAGGCTCACGGCTTTTCCCTTGGCCATTAGGAAAGACACAAACCTTTTTACGGGATGTGCCACACTTAAGAAAAGTGTAACACTCAAAAGGTTAAGCTCCATGTTTAATGAAATTATGGGGAAGGATTTTCTTCTAAGGCTTTGATCTTAGAAAAAAAATAAAACTTAGCACATCAATGAACAGTCTGTGGAGAAAATAAAGGAAATAGTAATTGACTAGTAGAGACTCTCAGCTCTTATCACTGAATCTTCTTATTGTGTAGATATAATACAGGAGTTAAAAATGAGCAGAGACAATGTTTATTATTATTACCATCATCTTATTTTAAATATATATTTATAATATGATAGTTTTGTTGTGAACAAAAATGACTCTCGATTCAGTCTAAAAATTCATTTAAGAGATGTGTCAAATTTGTTTCTTGACAACCAGGCTTTCTAGGTGATTTTTTTTTGGAGGGGGGTGTTGAACTCAGGGCCTGAGCTCTGTTTCTGAGCTTTTTTGCTCAAGGCTTGTGCTCTACCAGTTGATCCACACCTCCACTTCTGCATTTTTTAGTGGTTAATTGGAGATACAAGTTTCACAAAGTTTCCTGCCCAGGCTGGCTATTTTGAAGTGGGAACCTCAGCTGTCAGCCTCCTGAGGAGCTGTGATTAGAGGTGTGAGCCACAGGCTCCTGGCTCAAGCTTTCTAGGTTTTAACTGAGGGATGGCAATCACACTTTTTGTCCTCAGCACTCTACCTTAAAACACACTGAACAAGCTTTTGAAATCTTAGTGACATTCTTCTCCCAGAAAGCCAGTATCCTGATATAATTTTGGAATTGTAGAAGCCTTCTCTGATGAGGAAATTCTTTGAGGTAGACTGAAAGAACAACAGAACTGTGCTATTAAAAAGTAGTTTATAGTGCTGGGAAGGTGGCTCAGTGGCAGAGTGCTTGCCTCACATGCATGAGGCCCTGGGTTCGATTCCTCAGCACC